CACACACACACACACACACACACACACACTCTCACACGCACGCTCACACTCACACACACTTACACACTCACACACACACACGCACGCACGCACGCACTCACCACTCACACACTCACACACACACTCACACTCACACATTTCTCTAGATGTTGATGCTTATGTGTTTCTCTCACCTTGCTGCCCGTCAGGCATGGTGACTATTATGGGCTGGCTGATGCCTGTGCCCGTCTGCAGGTTGCCCAGCTGAATGGCGTCTGTTACTATGGTGATGACCTGCTGACCTCCAGAGCTCATGACCTGCTGTATGGCCCCGTCGACGGAGTCTGCGGTGATCAGCTCCTCTGCGGCCACGACTGCGTCAGAGACGACCATCAGATCAACATCTCCATCAGAATGCACTTACTCTACACAACAACATCAGGCTTATTTCAGTCTAATCAGTGCTTTGATGCTGCTCTGAGACGCTGTTTGTTCAAATAACTGCAGGGTAATTTTCTTCATTGCGCGGAGGGCAAACACACAATCATGTCGTGCGTCACGTGTGCGTCTGACAAAGGAGGTCATTCATAAACGCAGGTCGGGTCACCTGTGGATTTGCTGTGGTTTGCGTGCGACACGAGTCCGGCGAGGTTCACTCCTCCTGAACCGATGATGAACCGCGGCGCGGCCGTGTGGACGCTCAGTGTGTCCGGACTCTCGGGGTTTGTGTTGATCTGGTTCTGCATCGCCACCTGATGCACAATCATCATATTCATAAACACATTATGACACAGATGTTCTGGTTTATGCTAATTATTAAAACCACTTCATCAATATTATTAATAAACATCATTACTTTGTATTACAGAGGTACATTAAATTACATCAGTGTAAAATAAATGAAATTCATGATTCGAGCAGCAGTCGAGGGCTGAACACACAATGAACGGTTGAGCTGATCCGTCTGATCGATGCAGGAAGGAAGATTCATTCATGCATGCTTCATAAAAAAAAAAATTATATTTATTTTTTTATGAAAATGTCATAACTGTTAAGATACTATTACTATTTTTTAATCATTTTAAATTCATTTTTATTTAATTTTAAAGTTTTAGTTATTTTATTGTTTGTCTTTATGTTAGCTATTTTATATATATGTTTATGTCTACAGGTTTTATTAGTTTATTTCAGTTCAGTTCAGTTTATTTTAGTTCTTCAGGTTAAACTAATGTAAAATGTTGCTTTGAAAACTAGCTGAAATTAAAAATTATTTTTCTATTTTATTTTATTTTATTTCAGTTACTTAAATTATATTATTTATTTAAATGAACTAAAATGCTGTTTTTTATGGGTTTCAGTTTTAATTAACTATAATAACTCTGGTCATAACTTTATTTTCTGGTGAAGCGAACGACTCTCTGGTGACAATATGGACAAAAGTGATGTTGAGATGTAGCCTCACTTTGTGTTTCTGGACACCAAAAAGCCACCGGATGCACTGAAGGTGATCTGAGACTGAAGGAGTTGACTGAATTTGGAGAAAAGATTGCTGTAAAGAACAAAATGCTAATCGTAGTGTGAATCCAAAACACAGAACAGTTGTTTTTCATGCCTGATTTTATCAGTAGGTGGCGCTGTCACCAAACCACTCACGTATCAAAGACTTGGACAGTCGAGCATTGAGAGGAAAACTGCTTGAGAGCTCAACCGCGGCCAGAGAGCTCAGAAGAGCCTGTGATGAAGCGTGTACCTGCAGGATCTCGGCCAGCTCGTGGCTGCTGTTGTCCAGCGCGATGTCCAGAGCGTTTTTGTAGAACTTGCTCTGCGCGTGAACATCAGCTCCGAAGCGCAGCAGCAGCTCCAGCACGTCTCTGTGGCTGTGCTCCACGGCCCAGTGCAATGCGCTCATCTTCAGCATGTCCTTGGCGTTCACATCGGCGCCGTGCTGCAGAAACACACATGAATGGAGTCGTTGTTGGATGATGAAAGGCCACACTTAAAGAGGCAAATTACCGCAAATGCAACATCAAAGAGCCATCGGCCCGTAATGCGGCGCTCGCTCACCTTCAGCAGCAGCTCCACGATGCGTGTGTGACCCTGAGACGCGGCCATGTGCAGCGGCGTCCGGTCCACTTTAGTGCGAGCGTCTCGACTCACGCCGGCGCGCAGAAGCACCTCTGTGGTGGAGTAATGACCGAACTGAGCCGACAGGTGCAGCGGAGACGTGCCCAGCTGCAGAGACAATAACACCTCACTGTAAAGCACAGAGACGCACTCACACACACTCTCACTCACACACACACTCACTCTCACTCACACTCTCACTCTCACTCACACTCTCACTCACACACAAACACAAACACTCTCACTCACACACACACACACACACTCACACACACAC